TAGAATAGAGATAGATAGATAGAAGATAGACAATAGATAGATAACAGAGAGAGGGAGCAGAGACAGGAGACCAGAGACAGAGACATAGAGAGGAGATAGGAGAAGAGAGAGAGATAGAAGAGGATAGGAGATAGAAGAAGAGAGAAGATATACAGACATAGATACATAAGAACAGAAACATAATACATAAGACAGAGAGACAGGACATTATATAGCAGACATATATATATATATATATATATATATATATATATATATATATATATATTTATATATATATATATATGTGTATATATATATATATATATATATATATTATGTTTGTATGTATATTATGTATGTATGTATATTTATAAGTATATTTATATATATATATATATATATATATATATATATATATATATATATATATATATATATATATATATATATATATATGTATGTATGTATATTTATAAGTATATATATATATATATATATATATATATATATATATATATATATATATATATATATATATGTATGTATGTATGTATGTATTTGTATCTATGTATGTTTGATAGTTAATCAGTGGAAAAGTAGGAGTATGTTTTGGTTATCAGCTTTAGAAAGAAAGAAGAGTGCAACTTTAATGTTGAGAATTATTTTATTGTAGGTGATGTCTTTTTATTTCACAAGGTGTATACTTTTGAGTTTTATTGATGCATATTTTCTTTGCAATTGTTACAATGTTTTATTATGATAGAATTTTATCACAGGCATTATGCAACTATATCAGTAGTGTTTTGATCTATATACTGAAAATTCTGGCCACAATTATCTTCTACTACTGAGGTTTTAATATCTACATAAGATAAAGAAAACAATGAACAGGGAGATATGATGTAACATATACTTGTCATAGTTTTGTTCATGTGTGTGTGTGTGTGTGTGTGTGTGTGTGTGTGTGTGTGTGTGTGTGTGTGTGTTTTGTACATGTGTGAGTGCAATTTCTCTTGTGAGTTTTTTTCAAGTATGTGTTTTTCCTGTGTATATTGTCTGTGTACATGTGCAAGTATGTTTGACAGACAGGCAAGAGAGAGAGATGACTATTTTCAGTCATATTTTGACATTTAAAAAAAACTATCCAGTAATGCATTGATGAACTTTTCAGGAAAAAAGATATTTCAGCGCGGCCACCGCAAGTCACCCTCCGATTTTGACCTGAAATATGGCAGGGACACAACTCCCCCAAGTTCACCGCTGAAAGAGAGCAGAATAAATGATGCTGCCACATCACAGCCTCAGTTTCCTCTTGACCCTGAGTGCTGGGAGGTAAGCATAATGGAGGCCAAAGATGCATGCAATTATAATGTCACCATTGTTTCATATGATTACTGTACTTAGTCCAGCCAGGGAAAAACCCAAACATTAGAAGAAGTGAATGACAGACAGTTTGAGGCAGATTAACTCAACCCAACAACCATTAAGCTACGTCTCAAATGTTAGTCAGTAAACTACATGCAAAACCACATTTTTAGCATATCACCAATAACATCAAACAATAGCAGTTATCACTGATAAAACCTCAGAGGTCTGGTCTTAGGGAGTATACTACAATAATAGATAAATTTTAAAATCCAGCCCTAGACATTGCAAATGATAGTTACAGAATTTTCTTTAATTTTGTCAACAAGTTTAGTAAAAGTAATGCAGTTGGACCTTAACAATTGCAAGGGATACTCACCAAAACCAAGAAATTTACAGACATGCTGTGTTTATTAGGGCTAGAATTAGGAGTGGGCAGCTATATCTTTGAATATTTAATAATTTGGTAAAGCCAATTTATGCTGATTGTTTCAATTTTGCCAGTTTTCAGAGAGGAAGAATGAATTAATCTTTGATTATATATTAGATTATTGGCAGTGGAAAGAAAAAATAAATAGTTACCAGCCATTTATTTTTATTGCTTTGAGTGGTTTAAGTAAGTAATCTACTTGTCCCTAGATTTTCCTTTGATTTAGTTCCCCACAAAGAAATGTATAAACTGAATCTTGTCTGTTCTAATAAAATCCACCCATTACTTGCTTTACTGACCAGAAATCATTTTATAGGTTTCAACATTCAGAAAAATTTAAAAAAAACTTGATAATGTAATATCTGAGGTACAATTATTCAAAAGTAAATATATGTGAAGTGGTAAAGAGGAATCTCTGAATCTAGTGGATGACTTTAAGATCTCTTCCCCGAAGGTCAAAGGGCCTCTACTTGGAGGGTGCCAGAGCACCTTCACATGTCTTCATCTGCCCTTTTGGTTGTTGTTAGTACATTTAGACCTGCATAAGGCTTATGGTAGTTACATAATGTTTTTTTGTTGTTGTTCAGATGCAGAAATAATGGGCTATTCACAAAGAGTACACAAATACATCAAAACTAGTTTTAAATTAATTAAACAAAGTACATAGTGAAAGTACATTAGAGTCACACTTATTTATGTTATATATCTGGATTACCCTATCAATGATAAATAATAAATGTCCTATCATTCTGACAACCAATATTAATGTTCACTTGAGAGTTTAAATAGAAAAAAAACATCTTTACACTTCTCACAAAAGTTCACCAATGAATCATAACTATGTATTTATATATCTGATATTCAGTGTAAAACAAATAGCAGCTATTGCTATCAGCTTTATAAATATAGTGATGTTAATAATGATGTGGCTTCCCTAGTCTTTCTATTGAAACATCTGAATTCTATTATATTTATTCTCAAAACCTATTAGATCAGGTTATTATATCGCTTGATTTCAATATAAAAAATATTAGATATTGTACTTAGGATACTCCAGGCAAGTCAAAGATAGAAATCAGTTACAAACTTCAAGGTGGACTTCAAATGTCTTTTCAGAAATCTTGTTAAATGATAGTGGAAAAGATTGAAAAACTGTTTACACTTAATTTTGCCCACATTATAGTACTTTTCACTAAATTGATATTTTTTGTTTCTTCTCAAGTCATTACAAAATTAATTTAAATGCATGGTCTGCCATATTTCTAGGTGGAATAAAAACTAAAATCTTTCTCTTGATGAAAAGTCAGTAGAAATCTTGATCAATAATATTGGGTAACATTTTTGGGATTGTCAGGTGAGGACTGCACCTGGTCAATTGTAAGTCTTGTGGTAGGACATACAAGACCTCATCCCAGCATTCAAGACAGTCTCAGTACAAGATGAGCATCATCCATTGTGTGTGTTTATTTGCTGTGTGATATCATGTCACCAATAGGATGTTTACCTTCAGGCTTGTAATTTGTACCAAGTTCCACATCTCTCCTCTCTGGTCTCTTCACTACACACTGCCTGTCTGTCTGCCAATCCATAAAATGGAGGGGTGGAGTACCATTACGTAGGTATCATTTTTTAAAAAAGCAAATACAGAGAATAATTGGCAGAATGTGTGAATATCAAAGGGTTTCCCTTGGTGTAGAATGGAAGGAAGGTAAGGAAGGTAGGTGGGGAGGTCCACACCATTGTTGTACAACAAATGCAATGGTGGTGTGGAATGCGGCAAGACACTTGATTAAATTATGGAGTAACTGATGCACACCCTTATTAACCCAACTTGGGCTTTTTCGGTGGCTGTACGGTGCACCGGATGGGTATATCTGTATGGGCCGCAACTGTAGGGATACCACCCATGGCATCATAGTAGATCCCACCCGCGAACAAATGATAAATTAGAACATGAGTGACAGCATTCTCTTCTTGCAATTGCAGAGTATATTGACAATTTGTGACGTCTGGGGTCAAGGACAGAATATAATAAAATAATCATAATTAAGTTAATTTTTATGAAGGTATGCATGTACTTTTATGTATTAATCTGCCTTTTCTTTCCATTTCAAGGTTGACCCAGTTGTACACAAGGAGTTCATCATGTGGAAACAAAACCCTGTTCTAGATCAGTCGGATCCTTTCATGCAACGTATTTATGCAGAAGATATAGATCTGTGCATGGCATTTCCCAATTCCACGTTAGCCCACCGAGTCCAGAGAGCCATTGAGGATAATGATGTCTTTATAGAAGAGGTGAATCCACGGCAGAAAAGCAGTTGCCCCAAGTAAGTGAGAGGTTTATTTGTTGTGACATGTGTAACTACTATGACAGGATGGGATAATTATTGGGTAATGGAACTTGGAAGGAGAGATTTTCCTTGTTTTCCCTGAATGGTTTACCATTTTGATTTTTTTAAGGCTTTATTTAGGTTCACCAGTAAAGTGATGTAGAAAACTTCAAGAGGTTAATTTTGATATTTGTTTCTTTTTTGATATTGTTAAATCTCTGGTAATTTGAAGATGAAAGACTATCTGTAATACTTGTTTAATATATATTGATATATTTATATATATATATATTTTTTATTTTGCACATAGTCCTTCTGTAATGGGCTACATATATGTTTGGACAAAGGGACTTTAAATAAATGAAGAATTCTCAGTAAATGTTCATTATTCATACCACATTTTTTGTTCTACAAATGATAAAAGAATTATTGATAAATAACAATTTGGTTATAAAATACTTTCATATGCTTCCATAAGGTAAGTATTGAGAAAATAGGACATCATATTCAAATAAATACCTAGATTTGAAAATGATAGAGTATGGTAACTTTTTTCATCAAATTGTATTGGGCGGTTTGGATACAAATGGTTTGGATACATATGTCGTAGATGTAACATTCTTGTTCATAGACTTCACAGAAAGAACTTTGGTAAATGTAAAAAGACTTTTTTTCTTACCCGTCTACATTGTCTCTGTTTCCCAGGTGTAAATCAGTGTAAATAATGCTAGCTTCTCTTACGGCACCTAATATCTTCGTATATGTGTTCGTGTGTGCCCCTTAAAATGTGTCAACCTTTGCCATTGTCCTTCAGTCATTTTCATCCATGTCTTTGTTTCAATTATCCAAAGAAGCAGAAGTCCAGTCATGCATAGGGTGATGATATTCATATGGTTGCAACCCCCCTTTCACCGTTGGCTCATTGTTGTCTTCTTTTTTTTATTATTTGCAGTTAAAAGCAGATGAACATTAATTAATAATGAAATGAAAGAAAGGAAAGTGTGTCATAGATAGTACTTTGGCTTTATGAGGAATGGGTTATGTATTTAAAGGCATAAGTATTTAACACAAACTAGATTTTTTTTTGCAATACCCAAATAGAATTTTAAGTGTATATATAGTTCTTCTATAAGTAAGTTAAGGAAGAAAACTTTCAATGTTTTATACTTATAGTAGTGAAGATTAGCAAGATATAATACTAAAAATTCTACTGAGAAAATGAAAAACAAGAAGTAGAAAAGAGACAAAGACAGACAGAGAGAACAAGTAGTGGAGGAGTTGAAAAACGTTATCCAAAGATTGCATAGCTTTTAACTGACATCTCTTTCAGTGTATGTCAGTCTAGGTAGACCCTTTAATTTACTTCAAGATCCCACATTGAACAGTATTTTGAGATCCTTTCTATGGTCTCTTTCAGAGTTGACCCAGATGACACCAGGTTATTATTGAAATTTCTCTTGGTTTATGGCTTCCTCTTAAAAGTGCATTCCTTTCTCCCTGCCCCCTTAATATGACCCGTTACGACCTTGTTGATATGAGTGTTGTATAGATAGTTGAATGACTTTGTGAAATCCTAGTTTTTTAGGTGTGAGATGAGCTAGTGTACTTACTGAAGCATTCTCATCAGACTGTGTTTTATATATAACCATTTGGTCTCGCATATTTGTATCATCAAACCAATAATTTTCTTTTTCTTTTTCTTTTCTTTTTTTTTACCATTGTTCAGTTTTTCTAATGTAAGTCCTTTATTTCTGTCCTTGTATATTTTATTTCCAAACCCCCCATAAATTTGTAGCCATGTGTCTTTCTATAATTGGTTATTTGTCCTATATACTTGTGCATGTATTTGCATTTTTTAAAGATATGTGCTTCATTGTATAATACTGATACATGGTTGGAGATTGACCTTTTTAACTACCTGAATTTCGGTTCATGCTTGTGTATGACTCTTAGTGACATATATGTTGGTTATAAGCTTGCTAGTGTGTCTTATTTACATACAACTAGAGTAGACCAGTAATGGAGAAATAGTTGCCTTAAAGTTAAGGTAGAGGCAAACTTTACCTTGAGATATGTCATTTGTGACCTCTTGTGCATAACTATAACATGAAATCTCTAAATTATAGTGTTGAAAAGATATCCATTGCTCATAAGTCATTAATTTATTAAAAGAAATATGCCACATTAATCTATCTTCATATTAAAAACTATGTTGTAATTTCAGGAAGTGTGTTCTGCTGGATGTTCCACGCTTCTGCAAGTATCGATTCAGGCTTGGGGAATCAGATGATACCTGGTATTACATTTCACAGTTGGCAAGGAATAGGGTAAGTAATCATTTGTTTTCATTTTACTTAATTTCTCTGGCAGGGGAAGGGGGAAACAGGAGAGCCAGCTAGTACTGAGTTTGGAATGTTGACCCGTTTCTGACAGGATGATATCCTATCACATATTGGTAGACCCTTCATGCCAGGGTGACATCTTCGCGGCATGTGTGGTTGAACTTGCTCTGAGTTGTGCTTGCTAAACTTTTGTAAATTTGTTTGGCCCTGGTTTCTTTCACTGAGGAAAAATAGCCCCTCAAAGTAGTTTTAAAGCCTTATATTAACCTTGATACCTGAAAATTTGTAAATAGATGTGTTGAGTATGGCAATGTTGTGATCAGAATAAATATTTCTGCTTTTTTATTTCTTTGGAAGTTTTTCATGTGACATGTTTTTAGAACTTCAGTTTGATACATTCAACAAGAGATTTTTTTATGCGTGCAGTAATTCTTGATCTGTAATTAATTTATCTTTTTTTTATATGAATTATGAATCTGTTTCCACTTTTCTTTCTTTGTATCCATGTTTCACCTTTTGCCCTTCTGGCTTATCATTTACTATCATTATGTCCTTGCCTCTTTGTTTCATCTTTTTCTTTTTTTCCTTGTTTCACAATTTACTTTTGCTGTGTTTCCTTTTTGACTTCTCTTATCTCTTTGTTTCACCTTTTAATTTCATTGTTCCCTTGTTTTAATCATTCACTTTCCGTGTCTCATTGCTTCATCATTTGCTTTTTTTATTTTCCTTGTCTTACTGTTTAAACTTTTATTTTCTGTCTCCTTGTGTCCTTTTATTTTCTTGTTTATGTACATTGCTTCCCTGTTTCATCTTCTATCTTCCTTGTGTTATAGTTTAAGATTGACTTTCTTTATCTCCTTTTGTTTCTGCTCCATATTTGGGTGTCTCTCTTTGTTTCATCTTTTACATTTTTGTCACCTTTTATCAATTTTCCAATTTCCTTCCTTCCTGGTTTAATCAGTGAATTTGTACATCTCATTGTTTAGTCTTTCACTTTCTTTGTTTCCTTGTAGAATTTTTTACTTTCCTTACTTTTACTTTTGTCTTGTTTATTCATAATTTCTCCTTGTAATAGTTGCTTCAGAACTAAATATTTCTTTGTCTGTAACCAGCTTCACAATTTTTAAGTGACAAGAACATTTCCCCTTTTCTTTTCCTTCCTTTCTTAATTGTACTCATGCTTTTCTTTTTTCATTAGTAACTGCTCTGGTTTCTTGTGATTTCTTCTTCTGCAGCAGCTCCTCCTGCTAACAAATCTGTGGTTGATGATGAGTGTTAAACTTTTTATTTTGTTTTATGAATATAAGGGCAAGTAGCGAAACACTGACAAGAAAATTACGGGCATCTTCCTTTCACTTTTCAGATTATTGCCATCTGTGACTTCCTCAACTACTTACGCTACATTAAGCTTGGTCTAGTCAAGAGTTCAAGTGAGTGAGGAGTTATTTTAATAGTGGTCTATATATGTATAAATATATGTGTGTGTGTGTGTGTGTGTGTGTGTGTGTGTGTGTGTGTGTGTGTGTGTGTGTGTGTGTGTGTGTGTGTTTGTTTTTGTTCATTCGTGCGTTCGTTCATGTGTATACTTGTGCTTATGCTTAACCCAATACATCCATATTGGGTTAAGTAGTTTTGGATGCGAGTGTCAGTGTGATGAGAGTTTCAATTTACTGTAAGTTTTTACTTTTACTTTACTTTACTTTATTTTCATTTGTTATTGTATGTAAGCATTTTAGACCATGTTTTATATTGTATGATGTCCGTTCCCTAGAGCTTACAGTAAAATGGGTTAAATTATGTGAAAATATTAATTCAGTATATTCTTTAATAGTTCTCGGTGAATTTCACAACTTCAGTGATGGCAGGATTCTAACAGTAATCTGTAAAACGTTTTTCTTTTCAGTTCATGACATGTACTGGGAGATTGTGAAGCTTCGGCGGCAGATGGCTCTGGCTCGACTTGGATTTTAGTTTATTTATTACCTGGTACTTCTCAACAACAGAAGACTATGTAGGAAAAGACTCAATGAAGCTAGATCTTATAGAATTTTTGTACTGATGGTTATTATTGTTATATTATTATTTTGTTATTATTATTGTTATTATTATTATTATTATTATTATTATTATTATTATGAATACTACTACCACCACTACTATAATTATTTCTTTATAATTTTCTTTATTATTATTATTATTATTATTATTATTATTATTTATTTTTTATTATTATTATTTTTTTAATACTATTATTATTATGGTTAGTTTTCTTGTTACTGTAATTATTTTCATTTTATTATTATTTTTTTAATAGTGTTATCAATTATTATTCATTTTGGTTATTGTTATGTTTGATTTATTTTCTTATTTATTATTGTTTTTTTTTTCCTTCTTTTTTTTTTCTTTTCTTTTCTTTGATTAATGATATGATTATGGCAAAAGAATCTAATATTGTGATTAGAAATGTATGCCATGTAAATGAATATACTCTTTTAAATGATAAAGGTAATCAAGAATAATGAAATGTAATGTGTACAATTAACTTGTCTCAATTACACACATGACAATTTTCGTAAGATAATAATTTAGGTGTAAAAAGAAATATATATAGAGAGAGATTATATATGTATCTAAAGGGTAGAGGGAGGGGAAATATATATAGATATAAAAATATCACAAACCTTTTAAAATAGTGGTCTAAAATGTGGTCAGGGAACTTTTTAATTGAATTCTTTAATAGATGGTTCAGGAAAATCTTCATTATAATGGTAAAAAGAAGTGAAGTCTTAAGAGAAAAGCTGATGATAAACTTTTTCATTTGGAATGAATTAAAGTTGTTAGTATTTTTCTTAGACTTAAATATTTTAATAGTTTAGTTTCTGATAACAGATTTTTAAAATATTATATAAAAAAAAGAATGAAAAAAAGTGTCACATATGTAAGATTCAGTTCAAATTTCTGTAAATGTTTTGTTACACTGAGGTGTATCTTATGAGAGATTTATTGACTTGTTATGCAGTTAAGGTCACCATTTTATTGAAAGATCCAGTATTGCCTAGAAGTTCCAGAATGATGCACTATGGAGGTTTATGCAACTAGGCAATTATGGATGGTTAATATCACATTCCTTGTTTTATTTTTTATTTTTCATTATGCTCATCTCATTATTGTTTTGGCAGTTGAGTTTTTATATTTGCTTTTCTTTTCTTACCTTTTTTTTTTCTTTCTTTCTTTCTTTTTCTTCTTCTTCTTTTTCCCCTCCTTTTTTTTCTCCTTCCCATTATTATTCTATTTACTGTTTGGAAGTTCAATATATTCATGGGCTTTCTACTGTTGAATATGAGATCTTCATTGTATCTGCATCTTGGCGGATTAGAACCAACTTTCGATGATGTCTTTTCCTCTTTCCAAAGCAACGGAAGAATCTCATCTGAACGTCTTAGGGTGATAATTCACAAGGGAAGTTGATATATAGATTCGTAAGAGATTTTATTTGTTTATACCTTTAAAAGGGAGGCCTGTGATATTCTGAATCAGCCATGTGCAGATGTGTTTTTCATGTGTAATTCATGTATCGGATTGTGGTGCAATTTGATACATTAATCGTTCTGTATCATATGTTATTCTAATAGCTTGTGTACATATATTACTAACAGCTACTCTATAAGATGTGTTGTAAGGCTGTATATGTTTTACTTGATGTCACAAATTAGTTATGAATTTCACTCTTTAGGGAAATGAAGTCAGTATAGTGAAAGAAATTGGGAAAGATTTGCATAAAGTTATACATAATGCACTGGAAATTATCCAAGGCCAATGCATAAGGTAGAGATTGGCATATAATTACCTTTGTAATTTGGAAGGTGAAATTGTATTATATATTCACAGGTAATCATATATTAAGCTGACTGAAATGGCATTGATATTTTGTATATGATTTTTTTTTTTTTTTTTTTGTCATTATTTTCCTATATCCCTCTGCCCAAGAGAACCAATGTTTCACAAGAGCTTACAGGTTTGGAGACAATTATTGGAACTTCATGTAGGAGTAATATATTTACAGAAAATGAGACCAGGAACTTTGAACACCATCTGCTGCTAGTGAACAATAATTGTCAATGCGTTAACTCCATGATTATTTTATTTCTTGCAGAGGTATATAAGTAATGATGTGCTAAAAGTATTTATTATATACATTTAGAAACAGAAAGTAAGTTCATTTCTCACTTGTAAGATAAGCAAATTACTTTCTTATGAAATTTATGAAGAAAGATCCATGAAAACTAGCAAAACACCTCCACGTTGGTGCCATGATTGGTTCTCTTGAGCGGAAGGGTAGAGTACAGCTGCTATAGCGGCCTCCATGAGACAGAGGATAGGAGCATGGGTTGTGAACATGCAGTTCTGAGGCCATCATCATGTGCCAGTATCAAAGGTTGGAAGTGTAAGGCTGATGTGCACTTCATTTTCAAAGTATTGTATATGCAAATAGAAGCATGATGAATCTACGAAATTGAGTAATAAAGGAAATATATCCCTGAAGTGATTTATATACAAAGATTGGTTTTAATAATCATTATTATGATGAATAAAATTTTGTAAACAAAGAAAGAGAAATTGTAATTGAAAGTTGCAAACTTTATTAAAATATAAAATACCATGTCAAGTACTGATTTAATCCTAATTTTTACATTTACATTAATTCACTCGGCTGCAAGTTATTACTATATATGTATTTGTATTTTCTTCAGTTTCTTTTGCAAACAGAATAAAAGAGAAGATAATGAAAATGCAGTTTCAAAAGTCTGTGCTGTATAGGGTAGAGGCAGAAAACGAGAGGTTCATTATTTGTTTAAAAGTTTACCTCAAAATGAGCAAGAAGCATTTTAGCTTCTCAAAAGTAGTCTTATTGATCTTGCATCAGTTATACAAACAATAAATATTGGTTTAATAATAGCAAATTAAGTTTGGTGTTCATGACATATTAGCATATTAAGAGTGATTTCATTCCTTAACCATGACATGTACGTGTATACCATGCCCACTGAGAGTATACTTGTTTGTTTTAACACATAGATGGCTACACTTATACCAAGTCACCAATGAGCCAATTCCTTCCTGTCTCGTATGTTTACCCTTTTCTTTGATTTACAAAAATATTTTACATTATCTTATTTTGCTGTTACTAATGTTTATAACATAGTAATTATGATGTTTATAATAAAAATAACACCATCGATATTCAGAGCACTAGTAAAAAATATTTTTTTTCCGCCAATTCAAATCAGGTAAGGTCTACCAATTGACTCCTTTGTGTCTAAGTACTAGCAGAGCCATCTATGTGCAGAGACATTTCACAAAAAATATAAAAAATGAGCACAGCATTTTCCCCATTTTTATTAATTTTCCCCGGCAGCATTGGGTTAAAGCCCAGGCCACCCAACTGGGTATCATCCACCAACACAAGCAAGAAGGTTACCTGATAACAGAATTTCGCTTGTGCTCGCCAGCAAAGCCATTCCAACATATAGCAAGTCGTAGTGTATCACCAATGCCAAATATATTGGATTACATTTGATCTCTAGAAGGTATTTAAAAAATCAATTGAAGTTTGAATGAAGGAATCACTGATGATCAAGTTTATCCCACCATCCACCAAAAATCCAGGTCTTAGACTTGACATCCTTACTATTGTGCACCATGGTTCTTGGCCCTGAACACCTTTACATCTTGCCTGGCTTTGATTGGACACCATGGCAACAATGTACTAATAACATAGACTGTACATAGTAATGAGCAAAGCCTGACAACCACTGCTCAATCATTTCGACAGGACTTAATAATCCTAAACTTGACTAGGTCTTAGACTTGACATCCTTGCTATTGCACAGCATGGTTCTTGTCCCTGAACACCTGTCCACCTTGCCTGGCTTTGACTGGACACCTTGGCGACAATGCAAAGCATAAAAAAATAGCTTATATTTCCCAGATAGCAACAAGTTCATTAAATACTTTGTATAAGTGATGTAAAAAAAATTAATATTTTGATCACTCAGATAGTTAGTGTTTATTTCTATCCCAAAATTCCTGAAGACTGCAGATAATAAAATGCCAAATATCTAA